GTGAATGAAAGAAGAAGGTTAAGTGAATTGATGAGAGTGGGGTGTGTAGACACCTTTAGTATGCTTAAACGATTGGCAAACTTCACAGGATAGAGATGAAAAATTTTTATTCAAAGAATCAGGTAACAATCTGGACATATACTTTGGGCTAAGATGTCCTAACCTATAATGCCATAATAACACTTCTTTATCAGTAAGAACAGATGGAAGAGATTTTCCAGTAGCAAAACTGGAAGCACTTGGTTGAGTCCACAATTGTTGAGCATCCACACAGTACAATCCCTCTAACATCCTAGCTTTGCCAATCATCTTCTCCGACTCCAAGTCCTGAAACAAACATTGAGTAGCGAAAAAATCAACATGACAGTGTTGAAATATGGCAGCTTTGCTCACAGATATCAAGCTACACTTTAAATCTGGTGCATATAGGACGGTTTTGAGAATTAAGCTTTCAAAGAGACATGCTTCACCAATACCATGAACCTTTAAAAATTTTCCATCTGCTACCTCTATAAACATTGGGAATGTGCACGGTTTTAAGTTTTGAATCAGCTTTGGATTTCTGGTCATATGGTCTGTGGCGCCAGAGTCAACTATCCACATATTCTCATGATGAATGTTAGTTTTTAGAGCAAGAATGACATTATATGTGTAAGCTATATTACCGGAGGCAACTAGTTGTTCTTTAGTCTCATTTTTCTAGGATTCTTCGGAGACATTCAATTTCCTCAGTACTGAGTTTATTACCATAATCAGAGTCACCTTTAGCTGTGGTAGCCCGTGAGTCACCTTTCCCTTTGCCTCTGTTTGCTGGTTTCCCATGAAGCTTCCAGCATACCTCTTTGGTATGTCCTGATTTTTGACAATGATCACAACATCTATTATTTTTCCGCCCTTTTCCATCATTTGACTGGCCACCCTTAGTGTACATAACACTAGAGTCAGACTCCAGCTATTGTGGTTGTATAGAGGTAGTAAGTTTTCGCCTGCTCTCTTCTTGCTTCACCATGAAGAATACTTCACGTAGGGAAGGAAGCTTTTCAAAGCTCATAATGCGTCCCCTGATCTCATCAAAAACAGGATTCAGACTTAGCAAGAACTTATAGATCCTTTTCTCCTCCTTGATTTTGGCGTAGAGTTGGGCGTCAGTAGAACAAGCCCATTCATACGTGTCATACATATCCAGTTGTTGCCATAATATTACCAGATTCGTCTAGAATTCTGTAACAGTTAGAGTGCCTTGTTTTAGTTTATCCAAGGCCGCCTCAATCTCCATGATCGCAGCATGATTATTGAGGGAGGCAAACATATCTCGTGCAGCCTCCCAAACTTTCTGTGCAGACTTGAACAGGGAGAAGCTTGCACTTATGTCTGTGGTCATTGAGTTTACAAGTCATGACTGGATCATTGAATCCTCTATTTCCCACTTTGCAAGCTTTAGGTCAGAGGACGGAGGTCGTTTCTCAGTGCCAGTGAGATAACCCAGCTTCCCTTTTCCAGTCACAAACAGACGAACACCCGCGGCCCATTGGAGATAATTCTGACCATTCAGCCGATGAATGGTGATTGACGAGGAGGTAGCATCGTTCGGCACTTGGTGGCCTGAACCCTGATCATTCGACGTTGCAGAGGTATTCAAGGCCAAGGAGTTCATGCCACCTTGACCGTCATTATCCAATCCGAATCCAAACTAGATCATGGTAGCTCTGATACCTTGTGCAATTCGATGCTATTTGTTCTTATTCGATATGAAAGGAGTGAGGTACATATATAGGCATACGCCCTAACTGACCGAATCACTCAGGATACAAAATCAATGCAAAAAAAATAAATAAATAAAATCTCCTAGAATCAGGGAACTTAAACTACTGCCATCTATCTTCTATTTTCTTAAGTAAATAAAACCTAAACCTAATTAGGTTAATTTGGGCCAAGGCCCATATCAGCACTAACACTACCACTTCATTCGAATAAAATCAATTCAAAACCATAAGAGTTCTTTAGGTTTTGTCCAATGCCAAGCAGACCACACACTTTCGATGAAGCATTCAACAGGTAAAATAGCTATCCTAATTGTATATGTTGATGATATCATTATGACTAGTGATGATGCAGATGAAATAACCAGATTTAAAAAGTCTCTAGAAAAGGAGTTTGAAGTTAAAGATGTTGAGGGTCTCAGATACTTCTTGGGTATGGAAGTGGCAAGGTCCCGTAATGGAAACTTTGTCTCTCAAAGGAAATATACCTTGGATCTATTGAAGGAAACAGGAATGCTAGGAGCCAAGCCTGCAAAATCTACAATGGCACCTATTGGCAAACTTGACAATAAAGAGGAAGATGAGAAAGATGGTAAAGCCACCATAAAGGATTGTAAAAGCAAGAAGAGAATCCAAAAAAGGACCCAATTCCTCTTGATGCTAAAAGGTACAAGAGACTAGCGGTAAAACTTCTGTATCTATCTCACACTTGCCTGACATAAGCTATGCAGTTGGTGTTGTTAGCAGATTCACCACTAAGCCACTAGAGGAACACATGAATGCAGTATATAGGATCCTGCATTATTTAAAAATGACTCTAGGTCGAGGACTCTACTTTGCCAAGGGCAAATCACAAGAAATAATAGTATATACCAATATACCAATGCTGATCATGCTGGGTATCTTCCTGACAAGTGCACTATGGTGTATGAAAATCTAGTGACATGGAGAAGCAAGAAATAGACAGTTGTCTCTAGAAGTAGTGCAAAGGCTGAACTGGCTTGTGGATATTGAGGATGCTAAGAGAATTGAAACTTGCATTTAGTGCTCCTATAAGATTGAGGTATGATAGTATGTCTACTATTGCTATGGTAAGAAGCCCAGTTCACCATGAGCGAACAAAACATGTAGACATTGACAAACACTTCATCAAAGAAAAAAGGGATGCTGGAATAATAGAACTAGCACATGTGCCATCACGTTGCCAGGTAGGAGACTTATTCACTAAAGCCCTAGCTTGATCACAGTTTGAAGAGCTCAGAAGCAAGCTAGGAATGATAGATATATATTCACCAACTTAAGGGAGAGAGTGTTGACGCTACTTGAGCCTTCAGCCTTCCTTATTCAGTAGCATTTAATCAGATTTAATTTCCTATCAATATCCTAGAATCATGGCAGATTTGATTTTGTTTTTGAACTTCGAATTTGCTGATTTTCCTTATTCTCCTCTAATTATGTAATTATGGACAGATCCTAGAATCTAGGATTATTTCTGTACGTATTGTACACTGTCATTCAAATAAATCAATCTTTTCCGGCATCAAATTATTCAGTTTATTTATAAAAACACAAATGTTTTAGAACTTCCTTTATGGTTTAAGGAAAAAATTAATCAGCATCGAAATATTAATGTTTTAGAACTTTCTTTATGGTCGAAGGAAAAATTTAATCAATATTGTCATAATATTCTAAGTGATTTACACTATTAATCTTCATTAACATATACATAGATATAATGGATGTTAAACCATATTATTCAAATCATTCTTGTACCAAAAAAAAAAAAAAAAAGGAAAGAATTTTAATTATCTCATCAAGATAATCACCCATTCTAGTTCATTTGAACTCATCCATACAAATCCCATTACTGTGTTGTGGGATTGTGGCATCCAACATGACTAAAAGCAAGTGTGACTATGTTTCATAAATAATATGGAAATTAAATACAGGGAACCTCAACTATATCATCAAGAGATGATCATGCAATCAGATGGTAACAAACCACACATATTACACAGATTTGACATTTAAGATGTTAATTATAATACACTAAGAAGACCTAAAAGTTTGGTCTTTCACAGAATTATGCTTAGTTTACAGTCTCAGTTCCATATAAACACTAAACTTCTACAATAAAATAAAGGGGTGCCCGAATAGTCCCTATCAGCAAAACTACTTTTTTATAATTGTGTAAGGGTCAACTCCAGCTGTTATCAGATCTTGTTGCTTAGACCATAAAATATGATTGCAAATCATGTCAGTGGTACACCTGTGCTTCCACAAAGCAGTGAGTTCTCCAAGGACAAATGTACAGGAAGGAATAGAGAAGGAAGAACCTCTTTTTAGCACCACAGGATTGGGCCAAAGATGACCCGTATTGTTCAAGGATTGTGACTAGCGCAGGACCCTATACCTTTTATATATTCATATTTATATTGAGTATTACAGGGAAGTAATATTCTTTCCTACTTTTTGGTGGCATGCCTAAGGTCCTAGAGGAAGAGGCAATGGCACAACAAATAGGAATGCTCTAAGGGCCTTAGGTCCCCAGAGAAGGCTACTGACTAGCCCCTACTACCAAGAGATTTCCCTAAGAAGGGTTGACCACCCAGAGAGACTACTAGTTCATAAAGGAATTCAAAACCTTGTGCATAAGAATGCAAAGGCTTAGCCTCAACTCCTACTCCACATTGATCGAAACCCCATTGCATATAAAATTAGAAATCTCATTATAAATAACTTCAGAACGAGACAATGACCAACATTTTAACCTTAATTTAAAGGAAGGAAAAGAATGCACAAGTATTGCAGCCAACAAACTTGCTATCATTTACATGCATAGTAACATTTTGCAAGACACATATTGGTGGCTCGAAATAAAATCAACAACTATTCATGGACCATGGATTGATGGTATTTACAGGATATATGACACAATGTCTTAGGAACAGTGATACAATAAAGGGTCTCTAAATAATCTAAACAATGTTGTGGAACAGTCCCACAGATTTCTTCAAGAAATACAAACCATTGAAAACTTCCGAAGTAATGCATTTTAGCTCTCAATAGAATATGGGTGAAAATTGAAAAGTTCAAAATAAGCATAAAGATCCACTAATTAGCAGGACAATTCCCAAAACCCTGCAATAATGCCGAAAGCAGTTTCGCTCACAGCCTTTACCGTGAAATAAAGTATTTCCACAATTCTACTAAGATAGACAAAGATACTTCACACATTACCTCGAATAAATGGGGCTCCCCAGGAGCTAACGTCTCAGTATTACTTCCTTCGTTCGTCATCTCGCGAACATCCTGATCGACCAAAGCAAAAGCAAGGTAAGAAAGCACACAAGTTGACTATGAAATAAATCAATTGCCCATGGCAGTTTTCACAAATTCCAACAAACCCTAATTAGCACACAACAGAGAGCAAAGGTTCTAACCTCCGAAAGCTCAGAGAAGGGAAGGTAACAACTACAACGATGCCAAATCGACGGATCAGATGCACATCGGACGAGACAGAAAATCAAAATTTTGGAACAGAGAAAATTTAGGAAAACAACAAAAATTAAAATCAAATAGCAAGATATTTAGGAATGATTAACAGGGTAGCAGACAGAAATTGAAAAAGCTACAGGGCAATGATTTTGCAATAAACTGCTATGAGGATTTTTGAGGGTTCGGTAAAATAATTTTTCTGTTCGGTTTGTGAGCCAAAAAAGAAAGAAAAAGACGAAAGGCGCTGAAGGGTCTGAACAACGGTGAGGCCGGTAAGACTCGTCTTCGGCAGTAGAGCCGTAGAGGAAGATAATTATTTTATCGTTCATGCAAATTGGGTATTTGATAATGATAATGATAATATATATGCATGTCTTATCATGATAAAATCTATTTTATTTATGGTCATATATTGACAGTGATGATTTCCACCAAAAAAAAAAAAACAGACAGATTTCTCGTGGGGAACATATAAAAATAGAGAGAACTCGCGATATTAAAAATAAAATTGGAAATTATGATGAGGATTAAGGTTTTTTATTATAACTGATTTTAGGCTTAGTCATCCCGTCTTGTCCCGAGACCATTCCCACCCTATAGGGGTTGAGACGAGACAAGACGTGCCCTTTTTTTTTTTTTTTACAAGTCGATGTAATTTGGGCCTAGATTTTTTTATGTAAATATTTGTTTTTTATTGGACTTCTGAAGATAAAAACACTAAAAAAAATATTATGTAAAAGGCTCAATTGTATAATGTAAAAAAAGTATAAAAACAATACTGCCAAAGAAGAACTATCATAAAAGAAATACTATATAATGGCTTTATTAATTATTTTATTGAAGAAGAAGATTTTATTGAGATAATATTGTAACTTGAGAGCTGAAAATCACTGTAAAGATAATTATTCTTAAAAAAAGAATTAAATAATCTAATAAAATTATTAATAAATAATTTTAAAAAAAAATCGGACGGTCTGCGTCCCGTCCTGTCCCCTCTCATAGTCATTATGTCTCAAAATTTTGTTTGTCATGTCTCATCCCAAATTGATCGGGACTGGGATGGGAGAACTTAAACACCCCTAGTTGTTATGAATCAAATCAGCCTATTCGATCTGTGTTCGGTTCAAACATTTACCAAAATCACAAGAAAGGTAAACAAGTTAAGAATCGGTCAGAATTGGTTAAAAAAAATGTTGAAAAATTAATTTGAGTCGACTTTCCTTTTTATATATACTATATTCGGTCCTTAATATAATAGCTAATTTAAGATTTAATTTGATCCTAAATATAAGACCCTAACTATTTTGGCTCTCATATTTATCCATCTTTTCTAAGATAATTATAGTAGTGGTTGCACATGTTAAAAGTTTCATTAAATGGTAGTTCTCATTAATATACATAATTAGCAAAACTATTTTATAGAAGACAACACATATTTATTACAAATAACTAACTGAACTAAATTTTCTAATCTACTCAAATTAGTCAACTAACTTTTACATTAAAGATCAAACTTCATATGTAGTGTTTTGAATTTTTAATAACCCAAAAATGTGTTATTGTGTTTTTATTTGTATTTTGGTCGGTTTTGTCTTCAGTGTCTTTGGAGTTATCCCCAAATATATGATTTTCTTGGTCTATTCATTTTGATCATATACATTCTAATTGCACAGTAGTTTCAATGTAGACAGTTGAATGGGGTATCATAAAAAAATCAACATACATATTTTTTAGAAATAATTAATTTAACTAATTTTATTTTAATAAAAAAACTTATTTAGTTTTTTTAATATTTATAAATTAAAACTCGAGAAAGTATAAGGTCTTCATAAGTTACACCCCTCACTTATGGTCATTGATAGAAAATGGTAGAGAAAGGAAAAGTAAGGTGAAAATGGGGAGGAATGGAGTTTTTTCGAGAAAGAAAAATAGAAGAGAAAGGAAAAATAGGGGAGAAAATTGTTAGAATGGTAGTACACCTAGGAAGAAGGTGAATTAGGTGATAATAAAATTTTAAACTTAAAAACAGTAATCGTAAACTAAAGGAGATCGAGTTAGAAGGATATCATCGTGAGGGTAAATCAAGATGCACATAGCAATTTACACTAGTTCGGTTTTAATCACTTGACCTATATTCAGTCCTCAGAAGGTCTCTTGGAGTTTTACTATACTCTAAGATTTGTAACAGGCTCTTGGTGCCATAATACAGCAATTGATTACTCTCAATTGCTCCCATTTACTACCCATAAAGTTACAACCCACTCAAGATTCTCATAATTTTGAGTTACTCTAGATGGAGTAATAAAAGTTTAAGTCTCTCTTTTCGAGTAATAAATGAACACTAAAGTATAATTGATGAACTTAATGAAACAGAGCAATAAATTCGATAGCGTAATTGTTCATTTTTCTTCTTTGCTCTATTGAATGCTATAGTTGATCTTCATTAACTATCCATTAGACTTGAAGTGATATTACCATTGTAAAAGCAGTTGTAGATGATGATAGCTTGTAATGGTTGAAGAGCATTTAATGTTTCTGACAAAAGTAGCTTGACAATGTCATTTTTTCATTGAGCCATTTAATCTTGCATTAACCTTGCTTGAACTTGTTATTAGCAACTCAGAGTAGTAAGGAAAGACAGAAGATGAACAATAAATAAATTTCAAACAAGTTAACTTTAATTTGCTCAAAGATCATATATTGATAACCTTATCAATAATTAGCTTTATCAATATTCTTATTGATAAATATCCAAAAAGAAAAGAAAACTAAGCTGTGAGAAATAATGAAGTTCAAGGCCATTTTATCATAAATCTTATCAATAAATTTTTGATTGAAAATAGATAGATTATCTTTGAATTTATTAAACAGCTGAAGACTAAAAAATGAAAAAAAAATCTACATTTACTGATAATCTTATCGATAAAAGCATTTAAAATAACCTTATCAAACACCTTCTCGCCAAAGAACTTTATTGATAACGTTATTGATAAGCCAAAGTATTTCTATTGGGATCTATTAAAACAACTATTCTGAAATTTGAGAGCATCCATTAATTGACGTTATCGATGAAAATCTCTTTTCCTCAAAGAACAAGGTGTTGTCGATAATCTTATTTATAATTATAGAGTCAACTTCAGCATCTAAGTTTTAAAAACAATTGAACGAAAAGGCTTTCTTTGTCATAGTCAAAACTTGAATAAAAACGATTGACCCAAAAGGCTTTCTTTATTATCATCAAAACCCAAATACTAACAAAAATAAAGTGAGTCTCACATCTCATTTTCTCCCCAAAATTTAACTCCACAAGTAGAGAGATTTTCATCCAAAAAATTCATTCTCATTACTACCCTCCCTAAAAGGTGTAAATGACATGTTCACCTTTTTGTTTATAATATTCCATGACCATGATGATAGTGTAAGATATTTTATTTTATAAGTATCAATTTTAATAGTATTATTAGTGACATTTTCATGATATCAATTTCTCATGCTATCATAGGGGGTGTTTGGATAGAAACAAAACTATGATTTCAGAAGTAATTTTACAGTCTACAAAGTAAATATGTGGAGGAGTTTGTCTCGATTTGCAAAAAAGTGCTTTTAAAACATTATGAACTCATCCAATCCCGTAGTCTTTCATTTTACTTGATTTTTATCATTTTATCAAAACATTAGATAATATATAATTCATTTATTTCCTTTTATTTTATTTTATTTTATTTTATCATTTTACTTGAATCTGGTGACAAGAGAAATAAGAATATACTAGGAGAGCACAAAAAACCTAGTAGTCTGGTCCAACCCAAGGTAGTTATTCCAAATATGCTCTTTAATAAAATCAAACCAACCTGGACGAACTGGTTGGTTGGGCTAGACTAAGTTCCTGACCAAGTGACCAAACCACTTGGACTAGTCTAGTTCGGTCCAAGTGAATACTAATTTTTTTTTTATATATTTTGTAAATTGGATGTTGATTTTTATTATTATGAAATATTTTTAGAAATTCCTATGGATTTATAATTAAATTAACATTTTGTTTATGAGTTTATATGATTATAGGTATTTTTTCATTGTCTTAATTATGTTTATCAAGTTAAAATCTTGAATCTCACAAAGAAAAGAAAAAAAGAAAAAAAATTGAGGTTTTAGGCTACTTGGACTGCCCAAGGTAATCTAGTGGATCAATTTTTTTTTTCTATATTTTGTAAATTGGATGTTGATTTTTATTATTGTTTATTTGCCACTAAGGACTTAAGCATGCTCTCATTATGGACGATTGTTAATTTATTGCTGAGGACTATTGGTCTAGATTGTTATGGATTGTTATTCATTTTTGGACTGCGAGTTTTCCTTTAAATAGCCAAAGGGCCTTAGAACTATGCTCTAATCTGTTTACATTCTTATTGAATAAGTAAATTCTAAGTTCTTACATTGTCGCTCCTTTGCCATCTAGCCATTATTATTGTGTTGTCATAACTATGTTAATCAGTTTGAAGACATGAGAGGCTAAATCTTTAGCCTCTGGGTAATGGAAGACAAATCTTGAGCTCAAGGACTTAATAGGGGAGTTATCAATCTAAACCAGTGCTTAATTCTGTGTTAGAGATTTCTAGATATAGGGATTTTTGCATTTGTATCAAACTTGGTTTATGATTGTAAATCTTGTGTTTAGACTACTAAATGTATTTGGATTTGATGTTGTTGATGTTGAATCATTTATATAAATATTGCATGTGGGAATCCTGGTGTTCAATTAATGATTAGTGATTATTGATTATTAATCTATGTGCATGATATTCTTTGGTTGTCGATTGACATTCTGAGCGCATTTCATCATTCATTCATTTGCACTCTAAGTGGCTTTCAATAATGTTTTAAAAGATGTTAATTAACTTTGATTAAAGTGAGTTTTCATTAATTAAGACACTAGACTCAAGTGATTACTTGGGGTTTCCCTTCAGACTTAGAGATTTCTAAAACCCCCATTCATTTTAAGAGCATTGATAGCTGAGTTTTTATCATCAAGAGACTAGTTTACCATAATTTCCCTTTAATCCAAAACATTTCTTCATTCATTTAAAATCCCAAAAATAATTATTTCTCTGCACTTTACATTTATTGTACAATCTTTAAAACAATTAAAACTCCTTTTTTTTCTTTGCCCAAATCATCATGTTTTTTATTACCAATTTAGACTAGGTTGTTTTCCAATAAAGCGCTCCTTGAGAAGAACGATTGATTGCATCCTATACTACATTATCTAGTGCAATCACAATTTTGATGAC